TGTTATGGGAAGTGAACGTCCAATGTCGTACTAAATTTTTGTTCAAATGCGATTGAACAGCTTATTTCTTCGCCCAATTTAATCTGTATTATTTAATAGTAGTATTTCATTATTTATAAAAGGCGTGGCATATTTTACTTTTTATTTGCACAAACTGTGGATTTTTAAATTTTAATTATCTATTGGGGGGGGGGGGGTTGTTGCCCACTAAGGATCTCAAATCTAAATAGTGGGATAACAGCAAAAACCTTAAAAATGCGCATTAGTTTCAAAATTTAATAGGAAAAAAATTGCGACTTCCGGCTGGCAAATTGCTTGATGCCTGATCTTTATACTTTATACAGACGATGGCTTGGCTATATTTTATTGTTTTAGCATTGGCCTTAGAGACCGTCCGAAAGTGATTTTCTGATTTCGGCCGAAACCGAAACTTTGCCGAAAGTGATAAAATGGCCACTTTCGGCGCCGAAACCGAAGCCGAAGCTGAAATTCGGTCGGTCTCTAATTAGCCTATTATTTTTAAAAATATATAACAACTTTTACTTAACAGTGAGCGTTACATATATAATCTAGGATTTGGCAAAAGTTTGTTTGCTTTTTTTCAAGCTTGATTCTTAGGAAATTCGGCCGTCATATTTCTACGAATTTCGGACATTTCTGAGAGTGCGTGGAATTGTCATGGAAACATTGATTTGTCACAGATTCTATTCTTTCTTAAACCCCTTAATAATTCAAACCAAATACATATTTTAAAAAAAATAATAATGACGTAATGCTTGTATTTAACGTTTTCAATGGAAGGTAACGGATGGACGGATGGGCGGGCGGACGGACGGACGGACGGACAGACAGACAGACAGACAGACAGACAGACGGACGGACGGACGGACGGACGGACGGACGGACGGACGGACGGACGGACGGATGGACGGATGGATGGATGGATGGATGGATGGATGGATGGATGGATGGATGGATGGATGGATGGATGGATGGATGGATGGATGGATGGATGGATGGATGGATGGATGGATGGATGGATGGATGGATGGATGGATGGATGGATGGATGGATGGATGGATGGATGGATGGATGGATGGATGGATGGATGGATGGATGGATGGATGGATGGATGGATGGATAGACTCACTGCCAAATTTAGACATGGTTATAATTGAAACCGAGACTGACGCTCCACAATCGGCGTCATAACTCACTTGCGGAGGAAGGGTTGTCTACCGTCCGTTAATAAACGGACAGTCCGTAAAAATGACGTGTCCTGTAAAAACTGAAGGATGTCCGTAAGCAGTAAGCGAATCAGAAGTTGTAAAAAACTAAAAAAAACTTGTGAAGATTAGTAAAACGGGAAATTTTGGTGTTTGCCTTTTCTTTTTGCTTCTTTTTCTTTTTTTTTCAGTTAAATTATCATTAGAACTTCAATACTGACGAGAGTAACACGGTGTGCTAGAGTTGGTTCACTGACGAGAATAACACGGTGTGCTAGAGTTGGTTCACTGACGAGAATAACACGGTGTGCTAGAGTTGGTTCCTGCAAACCGGTTGCCAAATTTTAATTCTTCTAGCGAACCAGTTTGTTCAAAAAAAAAAAAAAGAAGAAGAAATAATAAAAACCATATGCTAAAACAGTACCGAATCGGTTGTTGCTTGATTGGCAACACATGTGTATACTGTAAACTAACACTATCACTAGTATAAAATAGTCATTATTAATAAAATGTCTCCTATTCAATTCACAAAGAAGTTTATCGTTTAAACAAAATTGGCTTCATATAGTTTCAACAATATGTTTTATGGTCAAAATGTGTCCATTGAAAAAAAATTGCTTCTCAGTAAAAATGTGTGCAGACTTAGAATATTTTCCCGCCACCTCAATCCTTTGTTGGTTTGATTGTTTGTTTCTTGTTGTTTTTTGCTGTCGAGTTGGCGTCCCTGCGCGGAGGTGCAAATAAAAACATAAGCTGCTTCATCGTCTCACCGATAGGGCGGTCAACATTTGGAAAACACCTGAGTACCCATCGACCCATGACATGGGCCATGTGGACGGGTAACAGCGTACCCGATAAGCAGACGATTTGATCTGGAGTCATTGAGTTCACCGGCCATCACCATGGTGATTTAACGGTTTTAAGTTTTATAGGTTGTTTTATCTTCAACTAAAAGATCATCATAACTACTTTCTACATTAATTTTAATAAATTCTAATTCTATCTGTTCGATTGTTTGAATGTTTCATCATCTAAACTTTATAGGCTAGTAGACGTTAATATTAACATGTTGTCGGGTATGCTGTGAGTTTGGAAAGACGTGCTGCTGACCTTTGAACTCTCGTAACTTTTTTTTTTTCCGAAAAAAAAGATAAGACCAACACGGATTTAATTTGTTAAAATAACAAGCCGTTCTCGTCTCGCCAGGGCAGCAGTAAATTTTAGCAGACTTATGTATGGTAGTTTGGTTGCTAGGCCCCCGAAAGAGCATCATACGTGCCAGACAAATCGTTTGACGCCCCCGCCCCTCCCACTTTTTTCCCCGGGCATAGTAGGCGTAGGCAGGCGGTAGTTGAAATTTAGGTGGCAACAGCCGGCGCTAATGGCAGTAGTTGAGTAGAGGGTCAAAATAACAAAATTATTCCTTAAAAGCGAGTATCCGACGGATATTTGACAACCTTATTTGCCAACACCAATAAAGGCAATGATATGTGAATATGTGAAACAATGGGACAGTGAGATTGTCTAATGTACATATAAATAGGGAGTCTCCATAATTAAACAGTTGCTACGGAGTCTCAAAATAATTATCTTAAATTTACTCAGCACACAAAGATGTATCAGCAAATGCAAAATAGAAATCATATGCTTTAAGACGACTAAACATTTGTACAAAATTAATTCATGTTGTAATACATGAAGCAAATTTATTTATTAAATAAAAGTGCGTTTATTTTTTAAAGGGAGATAAATGTGTTATTTAATAGAAGCGCTTTCGTGTACCAGTAAGTCCCCCAAGGTAAAAACTACGTTTGTTTCGTGTTAACTCACTTTTTTTTTTTTTTAGCGTGTTCAGAATTACTTTTAAAAAAAAAGAAATTAATTGAATGCACGACATAATATAAAATACATGTATGGAATAAATGAATACAATAATCAATTGAAATATTTTTTAATGTATATTATTATCCATAATTACACGGGTTTGAGTCATGGGTGAGACTCATCTATTCAAAAGACAAAACAAACTCACCAGTGACCCCATTCTTCCCGGTTTGATAAAAAAAACTATTGCTTCAGTATGATTATCGCTTTGTATTCTTGTTTCTCATGCATTCATGCATCAGGACGTTGTGAACTGTTTAGTATCAGGGCTCCAATGCACATATATTATGTAAATTTTTAGGTAAAGGTAGTATATACATATTAGAATATCAAAGTTATAATTATATGCATGCTTTTGTTGTACCGATTAAGCTATTTTGTCCCGAGACGTTGAAATTTGTATTTTATCTAATCATAATTAAAGCTTAATAAATATATATATTGTTTTATTTATACAAAATCAAACCTCATTAATCTCAAATTAAACTATCCGACTTGAACCGGTAGCCCAACTACCACCGAAAATAGTATATCTGGCAAAGACTGGTTAGGCTGTTAGCTGGACGTAATTTACAGACGGTTCACTTGTGAAACACCTTAATAAAAGCCCCGATACACTACATTAACAAAGAAACACACACACTAGATTAAAAACGGCGCTTCGTGACCACACAATCAACGGTAGTCTGGTTCTATGTAATTGATTGATGAGACGTTAATGGAAGCGTCCCCGTGGATGCTGGTCCACGATTCAATAAAACGATTAAAATACATTTTCATGTTCACCGATTTCTAATGGCCACATTATCGGGAATTTGCGGAGTTCAATTCATTTTGTGCTGGGGTGGGGGGGGGGGAAGAGGAGAGAGAACGAGTATCCCAAGCTCAATATTTTCAAAGGCGACTTAAACAGAAGCGTAAACATTTGTGGACAGCATGGTAAATTTTCTGTTTTACCTATAGATGAACGAGATTGTCGATGCGTATTTTGAAGAAATCTACCCACCCCCCCACCCGTTTTTCACCCCTCGACCCTCCCAATTTTTCTTTTTTTCCCCATGATATCCGTCTGTCACAATAGGACGATGGTGTAGACTTTGCAGGACGAAATCAAAAGGCCTGGGATTTTTCTTTAGCAGGGCCGGCCTTAGGCCACTGCAACCTATGCGGCCGCAGTGGGCCCCGCACTTTCATAGATCCCACTTTCTAATACAAAATCTTAATTTTCACTTATTATCCTTATCCCTACCCAGACTGGGCCCCGCGCAATCCGTTTCGCATAACCCCGCAATTTTTAGGGCCGGCGCTGTTCTTTAGGATAAGCGGGCAAATCGCCTTTCTCCGCACACCTAGATAACCAAAGGGTACATCATAAGTGGATGATACAGCTGGGCACCAGTAGCGTCGCAGGAGTTTTCATTGTGTCAAAGTTATCCACCCACGGGACTCCATCTCTGGGTTTAAATTCAGAGTTTGCCTTATCTTAGATGAGTTGCCATCAACAGTTCGAGTCCCATCCACCCAGGTTGCTGGGGGATGTTTTTGCATCTAGGCTTTAGTGGCGATTGAACTCCAGATCACCAGCTTTTTGGATTGACTCAAATTAGACTGCACAGCCATCCAGCACCAAATATATATTATTTTATTACAAATTCAATGATCAGTCGAACAACCAGGAAATGTGCAAACAAAGAACGAAATCCTCCAACTATAGTGTGGTAAATCATCAAAATTCTTTTGAGACTCATTTCTTTGGTATAAATTAAGTACAAGGTACAAGTTATGAACGAAAGATGCTCAAGTCCCACTTCTAATATGAGATGAAAAATGAAAATCCTAAAATAATCCTCGCAAAAAAAACCCTGGAAATAAAGCAACAGAGATTTATTTTTTTTAAATATATTTTATTGATTTAGTTTAATTCATAAATTTTACTTTATAAAAGAAATGTTGCAAGTGAATAGGAAAAAAAATCAAACAAACAACAATGACATTATAATATGGCCAAGAACAGACTGAAATGTTAGTGACCGATGGATATAATAACATCATAAATAGGATGATAGCTTATACTTATACACCATGTTATGTTAGCAATAGTGTAACCATGACTGACGAATACAAGTTTCAGTACAGCATAGAATTTTATACCTGAATAAAAGATGGAACACATTCTGGGCTCATTCATGTCTGTGATAAAGGTTGTATAAAAAAGGTTTTCTTACATTTATTTATTGCAACAAAAAGATGTTTTAATAAATTAACGCCCATACACAAAGATATAACACTTACGCCGAGGGTAAACGTGGGCCTATCAAGATATGACAGTGACAGTCCAATCTTCAAGCAACATCGCGTGCATAAAAAATGGTGTGGGATTAAGTGAGGCCAAGTTATATCAATACAATACAGATGTTCCGCTAATCCTACAGGCATCCATCTCGGAATCACTATGGACAGTCAGATGATGGAATTTAAGCAAAACAATTCAAGTTAAATGAATAACAAAAATAATTATAAAGTACTAAAACCTAAATTCATTTATACAAAATGTCATGTCTTGTGTTAAAATAATCTTACATTATTGTATGACTGTTTAAGTAAAAAATCTTAAGTGAACCATTTTCTGCAAGTAAAATTACTCTAGGAAAAAAAAGCACCAAGTGTTTCAAAGTCCTTGAACTATAGTAGCTCGAGCAATGTCCTTGAACTATAGTAGCTAGAGTGAAGTCCTTGAACTACAGTTGCTAGAGCATAGTAAAACATGCATGCTCACACTTTTCAATACCAGGCCACAGATATAAGTGAAAGATTAATGAGGCTCAGAAAAAAATTTATCAGCCATATATTATCTTGGCTAAATTTGATATTTTAGTAGGAGATGGGCTGGATTAGCATTCACTGCATAATTTAAATTTTAATAAAAATGTATTTATTCAGGTGAGAACTAGCCGAACAATTCATTTGCAAGGTGGCATTAAACTAAAATTTTTTGTAGATCTGATGGTACCAGCACTAATAACTAAGAGTAAATAATTACTGTTTTATGTAAGTCATTAATACCATGAAAAGTCAGTTATAGTTTTAAGCTGTTACTAATAGTAAATCAAGCCAAGACTTTTTAAAAAATGTATCTCATTTCTTTAAAAATGGCTCCCCTATGTATTTTTAAACTGAGTCTATTCACATTTTGAACAATAAATAACTAAATCTTAGCTATTGCAAAAGAAACAATATGATCTACAATTACACCGCCTTTCTCACCTTTCCATTCATTAGATGAAAAATACCCTTTTGCTGGGTAAAGTAATACCATCTATGCCAAGGAAAAGTCAGTTATAGTTTTAAGCTGTTACTAATAGTAAATCAAGCCAAGACTTTTTAAAAAATGTATCTCATTTCTTTAAAAATGGCTCCCCTATGTATTTTTAAACTGAGTCTATTCACATTTTGAACAATAAATAACTAAATCTTAGCTATTGCAAAAGAAACAATATGATCTACAATTACACCGCCTTTCTCACCTTTCCATTCATTAGATGAAAAATACCCTTTTGCTGGGTAAAGTAATACCATCTATGCCAAGAATAGAAATAGATTTTAAACTAAATAAAAAAAAATTGAAAAGTATGTACATAATTTTATAGGAAATGACATTTCTTGCTGCCAATTAAATATTCACCCTTCAGGTATATTTCAAAAGCATAATAGAAAAAACTATTGACCGGTTGGTAAATTTCATATTTGACATTACCTAAAATGTCTGAATACAGGATGTTTATCAACAAGAATACCCTTAACATAATATGTTGAGACCTCATACGCTCATTTATTGATCCTGTAGTGTAACTGTATCCTCCATTCGTTCAGCGACTGAAAAATTGATGTCCACGCTATCCAAGAATGATTCGTCATCTTCATCGGAATCAAGATTAAGATCATCCTCGTCGTCACTCTTATTAGCCGAGGAAGTCTCTGCTTCAACAGTGTCGGAACTGACTTTATTGGGGCTATCAAATATCCTGTAGGAAAACAATGTTTTTTTTAAAAACAACATTCATAGCAACAGACAAAACAATTGTACAATGTTTCAGGTGGTCTCGGATTTCTTCTTCACACAGGAATTTTCATGATTGTTCCAAGTTAAAAATGAATCAAAATAGATTTGAACTACATTTACTTATTGTAATTCTTTTTTCCCCATTTGCTGTTAGGTCTCATGTAACAATTAGTTAATGCTTCTGAAGATTCAGCCATAAATTAAATTGCCAATTTTTTAAGGTATGATTCCATTGAGGAAGGTTCATGATTGACAGCTGTGCATGTTATACAAATTATAATTCACATTTTTAATTAACCCAATAAATATAGCAAATTTTTTGGCTCAATTTCAATATTTTAATAATTTAAATTATATGCTTAGTCAAATAAATTCCTGATCTTTGGGATTTTTTAATTCCTGATCTTTGGGATTTTTTAAAAGTCATATGAATTACCCAAAGACCTAGCTTTCAGGGGTACTACTTTACTGATATCACATTATTTTTGTCCTCAATTTTGGTAATAAAGGTACTTAATCTGTCTTTCCCTTTCTTTTACCTGACGAAGCAGAGCTGACACTCTTAGAGTAACCAGAAATAAATGAAGCTTTAGTTTAACTTGTTTTGAATATTTCTATCACATATAGTAAACTCAGTCTCTTCTATATAAACCTTTAAAATAACCAGACTAGGAATTTGGGGCGAACAACTCCCTCAAAACTCAAATTCATAATCAGAATTAAAGGAATCATCAGACTCATCTAAGTATAAATGCAATTTGAAATCGAGATTTGAGATCACTTTGCTATGAATTATGTTGGTTTTTCAGCCTCCATGCTTGTTAACAAGAAATGAATAACTTTGATTAGTCACAATTAGTGTAACTGTTGGCACATGTATTTAAAAAAATACAGTATTTAAAAGTACAGATAGTATGTTCAATTCTGAATCAGTTTAACCTACTTAGTTTTTAGCCATGTTGATAAATCAAAGTAATAAAATGCGGACGATAATTTACTGGCATGTAATGGCTTTATAGGAATTATGTGAATAAAAGGTGAATCAAAATTTTCATTTATTGCCAGGCACAAACAAAATCTAGAAAGGAACGGATGGATTCTTCATGCTGTACAGGCAATGGGCAGTTGATAATTGATTAATGAAAATGATACAGGTACTCGTTAAAAATAAGTTGTAAAGAACCCATAAAAATAATAAATTTTGCTGCCTTTTCCTGAATAAAATGCCTAAATTTTTAAAGGGGTAAGTATTATTTATATTTAATTTCAATTACATAATATATATATATATTTTTAAAAAACTTATAAAGATCAACATTCCTATGAGCAATGCACTTACGTGTCTGAGTCTGTTGTTTTGGTATATAATTCAGCCCATGTATGAAGACGACGTTTCCATATTTTGACCTGGGAATCCCATGATCTACGACTACACTTTCTGAATTTCTCTGGGGTTCTTGGGTGAAACTTCATATCACCACTGCGCACATTTCTAAAGATGACGTGAAATAGGATTTTTTATAAACAAAACAATAATAATAATTTTCACCCTTGGCATTAAATATTTTTTTTTTATGACTAACTTTTGAAAAAAGGTTTTAAGTATAAAAGTAAACAAGCAGTAAACTTACTTGGGAATAACTGCTATGTACATTTTGTATGCATCTGTACTTTTGCCATACAAAATATCTTTATCTCTTCTTGCTAGCCTTACAGCATCTCTAAAATTTAAAAAATGGAACAGTTCATAATATAACATAAAAAAATGGAAAATAAAGATCAGTTAATATTTCCTAGTTAAATATGATCATTATATTAGAACATAATCTTCCTCTTAGTTATCAGTTATTTATTCAGTAATAATATTTGTAAACTAAACAGATTTAAGCACTTAATTGTCTAACATTAAATCAACAAGTCCTAAAAATTTTTGTTTTTTGTTTTTCTTAAATATCAAAGATAAAAGAAATTACTAAGTATGACATTTTCTGAAGGACTAGACAAAAGTACAATTGGTTTTTGAATTTTAACAAAATATCAATAAATGATTTAAGTTACATTTTGATCTAAAAATGTTAGCAATGTGACAACAAGGATTATCAACAAGGATTAATGATTCATTAGAATAATTTCTTTAGAAAAACATTGTTAAAACCAACAACATCAAATTTATAAATAATACAAAGTTATACTTAATCATCTTCCTTGATATGAACTTTGGGTGATACACATCACATAAAATATCTGTAATTTTTCCCCCTACATCCTCATAAAATGAATAACAAGAAAATAGCAATCTAAGGGGATTTTTGTGGCAAAATCAACAGATAAAAAATGTGTTGGAAGACTAAGCTGTGCTCCTAATTTTCCTTTCCTAGAAAAAGCGGAAAAAATGAAAAACAATGAACACTCACACAATCATGTCAAATGTAATATAAAGAAAAATACATTATTCATAAGGAATAAATAAAGTATATAAAAATGAAAAACAAAATGTATTTACTCTTCTTTAAGTACTGGTTTTTGTTCACATCCTTCACCTTCAGATTCTTCATTTTCAGACGGAAGCTGCAATCTCCGACGAGACCTGAAGTAAAAAACGCATGAAGATGCATAAAGTCTGGCCGATTAAATTCTGTAAAAAAAATAAAATCTTATGGGAACTATTTAATAAGTTTTAAAAAAAATTATCTCAAAGTTCACTTCAAACAAACTGTGTTTAACAATTTAAATTTAAAAAAAACAGTGACAGGTCTAGAAACAGGATCAGTTGAATTCGTGATTCAGCGTGTTTATAGCATTTTTTTAACATAACTATTATGTCTTAAAATTCAAAAAAAAAGAAATATTGTTACTAGATAGAAAAATCAAATTAGATTTTCCATATTTATGAAATTCCCAATCGGCCAGGAGTTGGACCAGCCATTAGTGTATAATATTATTATACTTCAATTTACCATGATTGACGTTGCCTTTGACCAGAATGAATCCTGGAGAGTGTTGGGGTGCCACTATGGAAATAGTGTGTTTTATTATTAATAGATGTCTTATGGTACACTGATTCTCTAAATACTATTGAATTAAGTTATTTTCACACTTGAAAGTAAGGAATGTATTTGTTATAATAAAACAAACTATCTGATAGATTTAACAAATAAACTGAATTTTGTTCTTCATTCTGGGTTAAGTTGACATGCATGTTAGATGGAAAACATAATTTGTGTTAGAACAAACAGGTGTAAAATAACTTCAAAACTTCAAATAAAAGAAATCACAACAGTAACAATTTTTTTTCTTCTTTTTACTTTTCCAAATCACTTTCTGACATGAAAGTTTTTGGCGTGGTTTCCTCACTCCCTGATGTAGAATCAGTTCCAACAACCCATTTATTTCGAGGGTGTCTTACTGGGGATTGTGTGCTGCAATGGTAGCTTTTATTAGAATTATTCTGGGAACCCTGAGTTCTTGAAAATCTGTAGAAGGTGAGGAGTGGCTTACATTTAATTTTTAAACGTTCAAACAAATTTAGACTAGATTAATTCCAGTAATTATTACACAACTAACATACCATCTCAACAGTTGTAGCATACTTATCTGTGTAATAATTGTTAAAAAAGTATTTAATAGTTAGAAATTATTTACTCATTCTAAAAAAAATATTTGTAATACAAATGTAGCTTAACTGCCTACCTATGATTGCGACTGTTATCCATATCTGATATGCTTGATTTGCTACGATCAATAGGACTTCTCAATGGACTCAGTTCGCCTTCATGACGTGCATAGTTTGATCTGCCAGAATAGATGTCTCGTCTTCCTCTATTATATGGTCTTTGTTCATCTTGTAATCTCCTAAAGCAAATAAATACATCAAAATATATTAAATAAACTTTAAAATCTCAAATTTAGTCTGACACACAGAAGAGAAAACAAAATATAACTTTTCAATTACATCTGTTGGATGTTCTGGACAAAATTTTGATCCCCCATCAAATAAAATGCTTTTTTGTGTGACATAAATGTCACCAAGAAATGGGTTGTGAAATATTGTCTTTACATACTGGAAAATGATGACCTAAATGTATCAGGTGAATAAGAATCTAGGTCTCATACTCAAAGGAGGATGCATGAAGACTTTGAAGGCCAAGACCAAATCAGACTTCCTTAAATCATTATTTATCAAAGTTCTAACAAATGAAAAAATGTCACCAAATTCAATTAAATAATTTTAGTGATTATATGCTAATTTTTACAGTAGTCTTTAAAATTGATTTGCAATGGACCTGTGCAATTTAAGTACAACTGGCAATGTGTCACCTCAACGAGAACATTAATGTTTGTTTTGATACCATGAGATGATGCTTATCTCAGTGTTACTGCCTAACGATCACCCATGAGCTTTTAGATCACCCATAACAATGTCTTTACTTTCCAAGTTTATTCTGGCTTCTGTTGCTTTACTGGTAAACCACAGTAGACTACTGCCATTTAAAAAAAAAAGAAATCTTTCTGTTCACTTACTTAAACTTTTCATTACCGATGACGTCAACGCGACTTCACGGTCACCTACTTTCAATTACTAAGGAGATCACATTGACGTCATAACAAAGATACAAAGAAATTTTCTTAAATACCAAGGATGCCACATCGACGACATATTTCAATGCTGTATATATTTCTTTATTCGTTAATCTATAGAGAAGTAAATAATCAAATCGGATAGAGAATGAAATAATACCGGAAGTTTCATCTTCAAGTTTTATAATTGCAGAGTCAGCAAAAATCAATACCAACACCGGCGGTTTTCCAAAACTTGGTCGGCTTGTTAATTTGTTTATTACTGGAGGTGTCACAATACATAGCAATTTAAATAAAACCAGCAAAATCAGGGGGGCAGCGCAAATGCTCCCTGCCTAACCCAAATATTGTTACGATACAGATGCACCTGGCTACTCCATGGGAGATGATAGCAGCTAGAAACTATACTATAATTGTCAAGTATACTGACAATAATCATATTTATACTTCCACAAACAATGATATTTATTGCTTAACAATCTTTTAATTGTTTCTGCATTATAAAATTTAAGTGTAAATCTTTTTAACTTGTTGATTAACAAGCTAAACATGTAATGAAATGTTTTCTCTACAATTTTATGTCATTTAAATAGATCAGCACAAAGGAAAAAGCATTTATAAATTTATTTAGATTATAATTCTAGGGGGTTGGAGGTGTGGGGTGGTGGTGGTGTTAAAATGTTGACATAATTAAATGGGGGGGGGGGGGGGGGGGGGGGGCGGTTTCCATAAAAGGTTTGGCGGTTTTTTTTACAGGGGGGGGGGTCCTCCAAAAATTGCATAAAATATTTATTTAGATTATAATTCTAGGGGGTTGGAGGTGTGGGGTGGTGGTGGTGTTAAAATGTTGACATAATTAAATGGGGGGGGGGGGGGGGCGGGGGCGTTGTTTCCATACAAGGTTTGACGGTTTTTTTTACAGAGGGGAGGTTCCTCCAAAAATTGCATAAAAATTGTTGACTTAATTAATGGGCGTCCCCTAATGAAAGGGTTAAGGGTGCATCTTTCCCCCAGATTTATTCGTGATGCAGTTATTTTATAAAATATGACATAGTTCTAAAGTCTGAAGGATTATAATGTTAAGCTAGCCTATATACATTAAATACAACAAGTTTGAGATTACTGCCCTTATTTTTCCTACCACTGAAATGCAGATACCTACTAGAGTAGCTCTTTAGCTTCTGTTGGTTAGTGATAGATAGTGTATGAAAGTTTTTACCTGTTTCTATTTAATTTGTTCCTAAGATCATTTTCAGGCTTCTTTTTCTCATAAAAACCTGACCTGAGTGGCATATCTTCACTGTCTTCATTTTTTGGATGAATCTCCCTGTTTTGGGAAAAAGAAAATCAAGATCTTAGTTTGGGCTAGGGCACTTAAGCCTATAAATTATAAAATCAAAATAAATACACTCCATAATTATAATTGACTACTCGTTAATAAACAATGAAAGTAAGTTATACATTGAGAGGACACTCAAACATTAATTTATAAATAAGTTCTGGTCCACAGTGTCCACACTGACCAGTCATCACAATGACTTAAAAAATAATGTTAGTATTGTTAGGCTACATCTTCTGACAAAATCTTATCTTTTTTTTTTTAAATTGTTTAAATTTAATTTTAATTCCAAGTTAAAGTTTAACTTTAATTTTTAATGATATTTTCTAAGAATCTTCTTATCAAAGCTTGCCAGTCACTATTAAATAGGCCCATTAATTATAAAAAAAATAGTTTAAGTTAGGCCAACCTATTACCAGTACCTTGAAACTGAAAATGAAACTAAACTAAGCTTAGAATATACTGAATACAGTTAGACTAGTTATAGACTTAGACCCTTTAAGTTTTAGCAAGCCAAAAAAAGCTAATTAATTGTTAAAATAGGCCTAAGCCAGGCATAAGTACTTAATTAGAACAGGCTATCCCACGGGCAACATGATTATTTAAGTTTTAAGACTTTGAAATGTTACAATGTAAGCAAAGTAGTAGTAGTAGCTTACAGAATCTTATTTCTGTGAAATCAGTTCAACCATATTATTCTTTTCTCTTAGACCTAACTCAGATTTGCCAATCCAAATTGTCCTTTTACTTTTTTAACTTTAGCTAAAATAAGGCCTACTAAGCCTAAATTATTACTAAAGTCTAAAGATAAAATATTGGATGGTCACAAGTTCATAATAATAATGTATATCCTTCCTATGCCAGATTCTATGTTAAGTTTTAATACTACAATATTGGCCTATCTTTAAAATATTAAATATGAGTATTATTATTTATTATTATTATTATGATATTCATGTTTATCTTGACCAAGAATTAGAATTAGAATTAGAAAATGGCAGTTCACTTTCTCAAATAGTTTTTTTTTTCTAATTAATGTGCTAAGTGTTTTAAGAATTAAAGAAGTAATTAGCGGCATATTATAATTTAGATCCGAAGAATATTAATTAATAGAATATGCGTCAAACTGAGACTAATTTCTAATACTAATAAATAAATTATAGCCTACTGACTGAAGCCTCGAAAGTGTAAAAGAAAAATCAACGGTACAACCTCGATCATCCCATCCCATCCATTTCTTGCTTTGGTCTGATAAATTAATACGTCGTACTTAAATTTAGGCCAAATTTTAGTACCTTTCATTACACTCAAAAGAATCGTCGTTAAGATCTGCCCAACTTCCTTGAAACTGTTCTCCAATAACTTCAGCCATAACTACAATACGAAATAGAAAAATTATAGCGTTTCCTTGGACACAACACACTTTCTGGTTAGAACAAATAAATCCTAGAAAAATACCGTAATTCTCGCGCCATATAAATTGGCCAGGTTTTTTACACTCATTTTATGGTCCATTCATAATGCACACAAAGAGAATTTTGTGGTCTTTTAAAATATTGATTTATGAAAGTGAAATGTTTTAATGTGCAATCATATAATAATGTATGCCTACCTACTCTAATTTATTCATAAATAATTGTTTAAAGTTTAAGATAATTCTGGTTATTCTTGCTATTTAAGTTTTAAACAGTATAAAGTAAATTAAATTGGTTAATATATCAAGAAACTTATTTGCTTACAAAAACATTTTCATTGGGCTTCTCTTGGTGATGAAATTATATAATTAATTATATAATTAAAGACTAGCATAGCTAAAAAACTATGAGAAGTGAATTCATGAGCTTTTTCAAAAGTTGTTCATTAGTTTGGTTCTTACCACCCCAAAATGTCCTTAGAGGTATATTGACAGCGCTTCTGTGTACACTGACATCTATTGGCAAAGTTATAAATCAATTGCGTAGCTAGGGGGGTGCGGACCGCACCGGGTTACACCATCCCAGGGGGTGACACCAAATTGAAAAATTGCATATTTACAGAGCACGCACGAGCTTGAAAATGCCCCAGTCAAAGCTGGTCTTGGTGTAAATGAAGCGAAGATAAAATATATAGGCTAATAATGTCACGAAACACCCACGCTGATGACAACATCCATATCAACAACCACACATTTGAGAGAGTGGCTACTTTCAAATATCTCGGGGCGACTATAACGAGCACAATTAAATAATGTTGGAGGGGGGGGGGGCAGCTGACAACCTTTCCTATTTAAGCCTACAAAAGGTAACGGGAAGCTAAAAACTTTCTCTAGTGAGACTTGATCCTTAATTTCTTAATTTACCAGAAGAACAGATGCCTGTTCAATATATGGGAGAGGAAAATCCTCAGGAAAATATATGTCCCAGTGATAGACGATGATATCTGGAGAATTCGTACAAACCAAAAGCTATAACAATTGTATAAAGACCCACCCATAGTCACAAAGTTTGTTTTTTTTTTTTAAAGGCAGACTGCGCTGGGCAGGATATATTGAAAGGATGCAGAATTGTAGAGCAGCAAAACTGATATACAGGCTGAAGCATAGGGGGCAGACGGCTCACGGTCGTCCAAGACTGAGATGGATTGACGATGTAGAGAATGATTTACACCACGTGGGGCTTCACGCATCAAGCTATGGATTGATCTGAATGGAAGGATTGTGGTGGAGCAGGTCAGGATCCAACATGCCACTGATGATGACGATGATGACAGAGCACGCACTGCTCGGTCAAACCGAATTTCATAAAAGGATAATCGATCACACGTGAATTTTCCAAACATGTAACCAACCCAAATGCGTGCTTTATTAAAAGTTCAAGGTTGATGCGTCAGAAATGAGGTAACCCTATAATTAGGTCAGGAAATTTGACCATGATTCAACGCCGATTAAAGTGTTCGGTAACTTTCGTAAAGGAAGCTATAGATATCTCAATTCTGATAAATAAAACTTTTCATTGATACCAAATACGATGTGGTCGGTTTGATTCATAGTACATGAATCGAATAGGTAAAAATTAAAAACATTTTTAAAAAAAATCTTTTTATCCAAGTAAGGTTAGCAAAATAACATTTTACAAAATTTTCTACCGTCTTTTAATAATTGATTTAAATTATTATTTTTAAAAAATTTAAAACCAATTATATTCTTAATCGAGTTTTTAAATCATTTTCACTCTCCTTCAAAGATTGAGGCAAACTGTTTCATTATTTAGGCGCATAGCTTCAAAAGAGTTAACTCCGTATGACTTTTTTCTGTGTCCATCCACACCGGGAACAATAAGTAAGGATTGTGTTGAGAGCGCAAGTTCTGTAACGATGCATGTTTAGACATCAGTTTGTGAAGCTATTTTTATAAATGTATATATATCTGCCAAGGAAAACAAGTAGGGTGTTGAAAGAAGTGGGTAATTTATTAAAGTCATTCTAGATTAGTAAACGAAAAAAATGTTTGATACTGGAAAGAGACACAGTTATGCATTCAAAGAGTGACATGCTGTTCCGGGAATTCAGGTGCCAACCGCTGTCTTAGCTAAAAAAAAAAAGCACATTTGCCATTATATGTGAATATTTCGTTTCAATTTCAAGCAGGGCCGTGCAAAGGAAAAAACTGCGCCCTGGATGAAGCTTGAAATTGGCGCCCCAAACCCCTTTTCAGAAAAAAAATATCATGTAGGCAGTGGCGTAGCTAGGTTTTGTGCCTCCTTGGCTGACTTTGAGCCCCCCTCCTCCCCCCCCCCCACCGTTTCATCAATTAATGATATATATATATAATATATGTATTATATTAGGGGATACGCTTATATAAATGGATAATTTACGATTTTCGCGCCTTCTGAGGTTGGCGTCCCCTCCAAATCGCACCGGCCTGGCTTCATGCAAGTGAGTTAATGTGACACTCCTCTGAAAACGCAACTCATTGTTCAGCTAACAAAGCTTTAATTTTGTTATCATTGTCCTAACTTTAATTGCATCATTAATATTTAGAAACTGAAACAAAATAATCTAAAAAACAATTTTTGCACTTAAGGAATGAACCTGGCGTATTATGTATGGTAGGATGATTATTAGTTGACTTAACTATTAATTACACAGATGCAAAGCGTTGTTATATTTAAAATGAGTTTTGTCCCTTGCTGCATTGACTTGACCTGGCGAAAGCGCAAAAGTAACAATAAAAATAAAATTGAAAACAAATAAAACAATTGAATGATGGATTGGACATTATTATTCGGGGCTTTCTTTTTTTTTTTTTTTAAGGTATGATGCAAGCCTAAGTTTATAATTAAAGAGACAAAAAATTAAATTGAATTTTTAAAAATTAGAGTCCACTCTGCAGGCAATATGTGTCGTTTCGTTCATAGTTGGTCAAATAAATTTGCTCAGTGCCAGATTAAGACCCGTGGAGACCGCTAGGCAGTCGAAATTTGCATCCCTCAGGCCAAACATATATAAATCAATGAGTTTGTTAGGGTCGCACTTTCGGAAATTCGCCCAAAGCAGGGTTTAGTCAAGGAATGCCCCTCTCTTTCTCTCTTCTTCTAAATAAATTTGATCCTTTGTCGGAGATGTCGTGGGGGTCCCTAAAATCTCCAAGAACTATTTACTTGCTGATACATTTAGATGAATTTAGATCCTATGGCATACATGTTTGTGTTTCGGCCAAACCCCTAAATAGAACAAACGGGTTACTGGGTTGACAAATCGTGAAATGGCCAATGTCGCTGTAATTTGACTAGCTTAAGTCCAACAAATTCTGTATTTTACAATTTGGTCGGTTAGTTTGCGAAATGACATCAGGCTATCTGCCAGGTTCATCATGATTATCCTTATGTGCTCACGCTTGAAGTGTGAGCTGTCTCACGTGCATAGTGGCAAATTAATTTAAAGGAATAGGCGTGGTTCGCGAATACCATGGCATGTCATGTTCTTAGCGTGTAGAAAGCGCCTTCGAAGTTCATGGCAGCTGCAAGATAGCCCTGCGTGAGCACATCAAATTTTTGCCAGGGATTTCCGCGCCACTTCGCAAAATAGCAGGCGAAAGTAGCATAGAAACTGGTAATTTCAAGTACACCTGACCTTGGCCACATCTTTCGGCCCAAATGCGAAATGGCCGGCCTGTCGGGAACTGGGCGAACACCGTTTTTTTCCCCTTTCGTAACACAGATATACACGTTCATCTGTTGAAGCTTTTAGATAAACACTAAAAACAACATTAACGATAGAGAATTTGAATTTTTTAATGGAAAGAAAACAAAACTAATGGGGTTTTTCACACACGAATTAATGAGTGATTAAATCAAGGCATTACTCCTTTAACTTGGGCGTTTGCGAACACCATGCTTTACATCGATAAATCGTGTTCTATAAGTTCAAAACTCTCATAATAGTTTCAAAGAAAGATGAAAACATCACTGAAAAATATCGCGTGGAAAAGAAAAAAAAATTAGACATTTGTATTTAAAAAAGAAAATGTGTAAAATCTCTTAGTTGTGGATATACCTTCAAAACCATGCACAGTTACATCGGGAACCCCTCTGAAACATAGAGCGTATTTATTTGACTGCTGGCAGGATTTGTAGGGATGTACGTATTGTGGCGTTTAAACTACATTACGACACCGCATAAAGCAAAGGCTTAATATAAGTTTAATGCTTGAAACCGAGATCTATGGGTGGCAATTTTAACAATTTTTATTACCCACATTATATAGTATATTTTTGTGTGGTTGAGCGCCACTTTTTGGTGTACACCCTGGGCAGGATTTAGTCAAATATCACATCTGGATATCATGCAAGGTCTGATAAGCCCCATTATGTGTGTGCTTGGCATTCGGGGAAAGAAATACTATATATACTTTCATACCTCCCACTTGTATCTAATTTCAAAGAAATGCCTTTATAAGTTGTGTCCCAATTTCTTAGCAATGCAATAGGAACTCATTTTAATAATGGGAAGATTACAGACCGAATGTGCAAGTTTTATCAGTTTATTTCTAGCTTCTCACAGGGAGCGGTTTGGGGATCATTGTCATAGGTTGCAGGTCGGAACAATAGGCCCATATCTTATTATTAGGCCCATATCTTATTATTAGGCCCATATCTTATTATTAGGCCCATATATTATTATTAAGCCCATATCTTATTATTATACCCATATCTTTTTATTCAATCTTAAATGCTCACTTAAATAGACTCGCTTTGTGAAATAAAAGCTTAGTGAACATTTTTACACTTATAATTTTAGCTATTTGGTGTCGACCAAATTCTGCTATTAAACAACGTGTACGAGACTATCCAGGGCCCAGACAAGCATTTCCAGGTGCCCCCTTCCTATAGCCGTGAGACTATCCAGGGCCCTGACAAGCATTACCAGGTGCCCCTTCCCATGGCCTTGAGACTATCCAGGGCCATGACAAGCATTACCAGGTGCCCCCTTCACATGGCCG